GTAGCTAAGCATAAGGAATGACAGAAGCATATTCACAACACAGCCAATATCAGTAACCAAAAATAAACACATTGTTTAGACACATTCCAGAGCGCCAAGCACCATCAGTTCCCAGGCATCTACTTGCTTTATTATTGGCTTAATAAAATATACTGAATCAGTCCCTGGACATCCTAGACTTTTTCTGTCCCCCAGACCTGGCTGAACTGAGAGAGGCTGCAGCGCTCTACCCTTTGCTGGCAGCTCAGCCCTGTGACACTGAAGCTGGTGGAGTAGAGCTGGCTCAGGACACCGTGGGCAACACTGGGCATTGGCACCCCATGGGAGGGAGCAGGGCCAGACAATGCCAGTAGCAAGAAGGTGAAAGGAGCAGAGCTGACTAAGAGGGAGACACTCAGCTCACATTTAGGTCATCAGACCATCAGACATCTAAATTTAGGTGCCTCTATCTACAAGTTGCATTCCCTCCCTAAAGCAAGATGACAATCATCTCACCTTTCTGGAGTGATTGTTGTCCTGTTTAGACTTGCATATGTAGACCAATGATGCTTCTCCTCCCACCTTGGCAAAGCATGAGGGCCATGGGCAGCATAACTCAGGCTACCTACCATGAGTCAGCAGCCCTTGGGCTCCTTAGTCACTTGAGATGTTTTTTTTAAACGTAGCTCTATTTATTAGCCTTTTGAAAGTACAGGGTGTGTTTGATGACTGACTCTCAAGGATTTCTCAGGCATTCTGGAAAATGTCAGTGTTACTCTTATATTTTCTTCATTTTTTCCCCCAGTATAATTTGCCACGCTGCCTTCCATGGGGCTTTGCATGTCTGTGTAAATGTAGGGAAGTAGCTGGCAGTCCATAACGTGCTCTGAAAGGATGCAAATAGGCTGGTAGTGACCAGTGACCTTTGAAGGCTTCTTGGGATGTCCTCCTAGACAGGTTGGGTCCCACTGAGCTGGTGCTAAACTCCTCTTCATTACTCCTTTTCTCCTCTCATTTTTCACAACTGCCTTCTTGGCTGGTTCACTAAGCCTGGGACCTACTCTTAAAGGTAAGGTTAACTTCAAGTAAAGAAACTTGGTATGTCCTTACTAAGAAGCCACAGGATTGTACCTTGAAATGAAAGTAGGAAGGACATGAGGGACTGTCCTAGGGCTCAGCACAGCCCTCCCTGCAGTGACTGCACTGAGTATTGCCTTTCACTTGAGCCACTCATCCCGGCACGGCCTTGAGTACTTGAAAGGGTGTGGAAGAAGAGAGGACTCTTTTGCATGTGTTATGTGGCAATCTCCACAATTCAAAAGGGATCAGAAATAAGTCAGGGGCCTTAAAACAAACAAAGAAACAAACAACCAATATTAACATGCAGATGAGACAACCATGGCTGGTCACACCTCAGCACAGGCATGTACACAGGCTCCTCTGGTTTGGGGAAGAAATACAACATCCATGAGGTGGGAGGGATTTCCAGGTTTAGGGCTGTGTATAAGGACCGAGTGCTTGGTGTGGATAGGCCCTGAAGTAAATTCCTTAATCAGAATAAGCAAATAATCCCAGTGAGTAATATTCAAAGTCACAGATGAAGTCATGAACACATTGGAGATACCAGGGGCTTTGGATGGGACTGTGCCAACAGGTGTGTCAGGCCAGAGGCACAATGTAGAGCAAGGGGGAACTTGTCATTGCCTCAATTCATTAACCATTTGGGCCAGCAATTTGGATAAAGCGATTCAGGACTTGCAAACAGGCAGAATGGTGCCTTTAGTGAGCAGAGCTGGGCTGAGGAGGGCACCGGGAAAAGCAGGCTGCCTTCTGAGTCTGTGGCTCCCAATGGCACAGGTGGAAGGGATGAGCAGAGCAGATGTGTCCCCTGTCACCATGTCACCTCTGTCTCGCCCAGCGAGAGCCCCAAGGAAACTCTCTGGAGCCCGGCTTGCAGCCCCTCTCCCTCCAGGCGCTGTTTGCATCGCACAACCCCCTCATCTTCCACTCTGCAGGCAGTTTTCTGGCAAGACAGCACGCAAAGAGACAAAAGGCTGGGAGCAGGGAGGGGGGACACACTCTGCTATTCACAGCCACGGTCCCCACCCATGGGTGCCAGGAGTCAGACAGGGGAGCAGCTTATCAGGCGCTGGCCCCAGCACCGTCCAACCGCGCCCCGGGTCCCAGGGCCGGGCCGGGCAGCGGCTCCGTCCGCACCCCGAGCGGAGGGGTGAGTGCCCCGCTGACGTCAGGAGGCCTGACTTCATTTCCTGGCACGGGGGAGAGTATTTTCCCCGCCGTGTGTCCTGTGGGAGAGGAGCGGGGAGGCGGTGGAACTGGAATGGGCGTGCTCGGCCGCACCTGCCCGCCCTGCCGCTCTTAAAGCTCCGGAGCGGGGCGGGCGCGGCGCTGCTGCCCGGCCCGCGGGGGGACCGAGGTGCTGCCGCCCTGGGAACTCGCCCCTTCCAGCCGGAGCGTCCCTCTTGCCTGCTCCGGGCAGGAGGCAGAAAGGTAACTCGAGGCGATGTCCTGCGGGATGCGGGGCGGACCTGCCCTGGCGGCTGGGAGGGGCGGGAGGGCAGGGGTGCCTCGGCAAAGAGGGGGTGCTTCCCGCCCTGGCCTCTGGCATGGGATTGCCAGCTGGAGCTGGGGGATTTATGGCAGAGTTTTCTGGGAAACGATGTGAAAGTTGTGGCTGGATGGGTGTCCGGTGTGCACAAGTGTCCATGAGGGAGGAGGCTCTGGCTGGAGGAAGAAGACTCAGCACTGAAGCAAGAACCATGATTTGGGGTGAGATGTGAAGTTACCCCAGCACAGGTTCCCTTGCACAGGTTCTAGAGCCCCTGGAAATCCCAGACACTTCAATAGGTGCTGAATGAGCAGACTCAGCATCTGGGGGCAACACTCACCCGGGAAATAGGGCAGAGACTCTTCATGCCTCAGAGGGTATCTACCCTGAAGGAAAAAAATAAAAAGGAGAAGGGAGTAAAAGTCAGCACAAGAGGCCCAGCTCTCCAAGAGACTGAGATTCTTTCCACCCTATTTGTTCCAAGGGCCATGGCAGCCAACTGTGGCAAGTACCACTTCCAGTCAGCACCAGTCAGGCCCCAAAGCTATGGGTGTTCTCTCTGCTGCCCGGGGCTCTCACTCTGGCTCTCTGGCCTTTCCACCCAGCAGGCACAGCTCTGTATCTGCCAGAGCTGTGAACAGATAAGCTAATCTGATCAACAGTAAATGTCTGTGGATAAGTTATAGCATTTGCTCTCCAGCTTTTCGGAAAGGTTCATTATTTATTACCCGTAAACGTCCAGATAACTCTCAGCTGTTTGTACAAGAGCTCGTAAATCCCTTGAATTTTTTGAACAATGATTTGTGAAAACTCTTGCATGTGTTTTTCACCAATTCCATCCTTTCCATGGGAGTCCAGACTTCCTGCATAGTTGAATAATTTGCATTTTATTGTAGCCAGCTTTTTGAAGAGCTGCACATCTTTTATACAGTGAGGCTAAAAGTTGGAGAAATATTCCATCATTTGTAGGCAGGTCACACTGAGGCATAAGTGGGTCTGAGTCAGTAAAATTTTCTCCCTTCGTTCAACCCTTGATTATATCAACTGCCATTTATTGAAGGCTCAACCTGCAGTCCTTAAAATCTGTTGGAAAGGTTTTAGAACCAGCCTCACAACTTCAGTATGTTGTTCTGTAGGGGAACAATCAAGGCAAATTCCATGACGAGCACTAAAGACTCTAAAGGTTAACTTTTTTCTTTATACATCGGAAAAGAAAGCCCTTGGTTGTCATGTATGGGTCACCATTAAGGCAAGATTTCCCTGTGTTTCATGCCAATATTGTATCTAAACTCCTGTTTTGATAGATTTTGAAAACACAAGCCTAACTGAGCGATTTGGTACCTAGAAAGCAGTACCTGGCCGCTGGGATCTAAACTCACTCAGTGCCTGCATAATGAGGCACAAAGTGCCCAGTCCTGTGCAGTGGTTTCTGCAAATGCTTCAGGCTCCCAAGGAAATAGGCAACTTAATTCCCCTTGGCAATAGGCAGAGCTCACCTAAACAACCTTCTTAACCCCTGTTGAGACAGGCTTA